TAATTTTGAATTTTTTTTTCGCATTTATTATAGTGGGCGTGTAGCTCATTAGGTGTAGATCGATAGGTATATAAGAATAAAATATTAAAACCTATAAAATAATGGGTAAATACACTTATATTAATTTCGAGCTAACGACAAAAAATTGGAATAACTGGATGACGGATGTACATTTTGAAGTACAAGGCACAAGCTCATTGAATGTTGGTTGTATCGTCTTGAAATATTCGTGGTTCAACGCAGTGACACCTCGAGATCAAATTTCTGTACTCAAAAAAGCCGAGTCTAGATTTTAAGTTTAAGAAATTGGCAAAAGAAAATTTGCGGCCAATTTTTTTTTTGAATAATTTAAATTTTGAACATGTAATTTATCTTCTTAATAATTGAGTTAAAAATCTTTTAAAAAGTGGGAACTGGTCTAGAGACGCTTCTGCTTCGATCCTAGAAGGTTTCATACAGATATGATTTTTATTGAAGGATTTAGGTTTTGTATAGGTTTTTAAAATTCGTAATATTTCGAAAATCTAAATCATTCAATATAAGTCTTATCGTTATGAAACCTTCGAGGATCGAAGCAGAAGCGTCTCTAGACTAGTTAACAGTTTTTAAAAGTTTTTTAAATCAAATATTAAGGGAGTGAGTGTTGAGTTCAAAATTTGAATTTTTCAAAAATAAAATTGGCGGGAAATTTTGTTTTGCCGATTTCTCAAACTTAGAATCGAGACTCGGTTTTTTTGAGAACGTATATTTGATTTAGAGGTGTCACTGCGTTGAACCTTGAAGATTTCAAGACGTTACGACCAATATTAAACTTTTTAGGTTTTTTCGATATATTACGATTTTAAAAAAAACAAATCATTTAATATTAATTCTATCTACTTAAGACCTTCGAGGATCGAAGCAGAAGCGTCCCTAGACCAGTTCCCAGTTCTTAAAAGTATTGAAACTCAAATATTAAGGGGGTAAACGTTGAGTTCAAAATTTGATTTTTTCAAAAATAAAATTGGCGGGAAATTTTCTTTTGCCAATTTCTCAAACTTAAAATCGAGTCGCGGCTTTTTTGAGACAATAAATTTGATCTCGAAGGTTGTCTGCTTCGATCCTTGAAGTTTTCATAACGATACGACTTATTTTGAAGGAGCTAGTACTTCAAAATATACATCCAATTTTGTGTTGTTAGCTCAAATACATATATTAGAGTGAATTGACCTATTATTTTATAGGTTTTAATATTTTATTCTTATATACCTATCGATTTCCATTAATGAATAATGAGCTACACGCCTACTAAAATAAGTGTGAAATAAAGTTCAAAATAATTATTACTTGATACGTTACAGAGACGTACACCACAAGGAGACGCCTTGATAATACGAAAAATAGCATAATTTGTTTTCTAACTTTTTGCTACTACGATTTCGGGCGAAATAATGGTCTACGTATTTTGACCATAGAGGTTTTTGAATCCTCGTACGCCGAGTGATCAGATTCTAGAATTTTGTAGTGATCAAACGAAAAAAACACGTAAATACGTAATTTTCTAAGTACAAAAAACACTTCAAAAATCATAACTCCCGAACCAAAAGTCGGATCACCTCGATCTCGGTGCCAATCGTTCAGGCGTAAAGTGCTCTATAAAGCCCGACTACATAAACGGCTTGGAACGCCCAAAATCTTAGTGTCAGCAACGAAAACTCCGAAAAACGCAAATTTTGAACTTTCGAAGCCCCAAAAGACGGAGAAAAACTGCTCCTATGGGCTCAACACAAGACGCCGAATTTGATCACCGACCTCCAAACTATACAAATCTCGAGTTTCAGAAACATCATATAAAAACTAAACCTTTTCCAAAATACACCTAGGGTGGTGTTCGAGGACCCCCGGCTCCGGCAGTACGTTTTAGAAGGGCCTAAACCGAAACGTTTGGGAACATAAAAATATAATATTATCTTATTTGAACGTCATCTACAACTAATGATTTGTTGAACTTTAAAAACAATTACATTTCCATATTTATAGAACATTCTGTGCCAGTAGTTTACTACTTTACTAAGTAACTTGTTTAAGTAGTTACCTATTCTTATAATCACATCCATAATAAATCTATTTAGAGGTTTAAATATGAACAATTGTTTATATGTATAATTATTAATTGATGAACTTAGGATTTCAATCATCAACACATCTCGAAAATGATTAAAATTAAATGCAATTTGTTGTGCATGTATAATACTATAATATGACATGTCTCAAAATCTACTAATAGAACAATAGGTATAGTCAATAAGTAAATGATAGATGATGTATATTCTATGAAATAGTATTATAGTATTAGTATATTAGTTGAATATACAAAATAAGTATCTACTCTTTTCAGAACTATTGTGGTCGTCTATTTGTGGATGAGATTAATCCCACATAGGAGAACGATAAATGGTCAAACCGTATGTTTATCGATAGGGAATTTTATGGAGATTCCATTTAAATGATCGGCTTAACGAATTTTTTTGAAGTTAAATAGATAGCTTCAAAAAACCATTAAAAAATCAAAAAAATCCTACAAAACACGCTTTATCACAAATCAAAGATTATAAGTTATGATAACGGATCATTAATCACTATAACCATGGTTCAGGTTTTACATGGTTACCGTTTCAAATGACAACAATATTGAGGTTATGTTCGTATCTTATATCAATAATATTATTATACGTTAATATTAATTGAACTCAGTTTTTAATTTTTATTGAATTTATAAAATTTAAAATGTATTATTGTATTAATTACTTTTTACTATTTTAAGTAGGTTTTATATAATTAATTAATATGTTCACTACCTGTCCTTGTGCAGTATACAAATTACAAATCTAAACAGTTCACATTTCATGTGACTTCCGTAAGTCGTACATAGTTTTTACTAACCTGCTTCTGTATTATTTAGTATTTTATTTTAAACTACAGTGTAATTACTTGTAGGTACAATTTATTCGACAAAGAATTAAAACTATTGCGAGAACCAAGTTAAACATATGCTACCTACGAGCAACAATCACATTCAAACCATCATAACTCAAATCATGTAAGTTCTGTATACCGTTAAAATCCCTATAATGTATTTAGTGGAAGCGTGAAAAGCTGTTTACGAGGTAGCTGCCTCATGCAAAATGGAAGGAAGGTACCCCAATGACTCCAGTCTCAAACACCTATTACTATAGGTATAATATTGACAATAATGAATTACCTAATGAGTAACTAGTCCATTGACGAAGACTACTACCACCTACAATAATCAAACATTCAAATCTTCATGATTCATAACATATCAAGTAAGCTTTGTAGTGATATTTATCTCTCTGTACTTTGTAGTATTAATTAATTTGGTGTTTTAGTTCTAGTCAAGAGGGAACAATAGTGAGTGATGTAGGAATGTGCCTGAGCCTCGATTAGATAACCTATTTGGAAAAATGCAGTGCTGCTCCAATTCATCATTATATAATTATTTAAGGTAATGTTAGATGGTTAATATTAATATTATGATATTGTAATTTTATTTGAATAAAAGTAATTTTTTTAACAAAATTAAGTTTAAGTTATATTTCACATACCTTAGTACTTTGTCGTAATGTTTAGTCGATTGTAGCCTGTATGCTTAACTTCAAAGAATTATTATAATATTGTGCACCAAATGGCAAATATAACATATTCTATTATATATAATGATTTTTAGAATGACATTAGTTAACAAGAGTTTTTCTTACTCGAGCCTATCTGAATAAGTTTTTGATACTGCTTTTTATTTATTATATTCATCATTTAAGTTACTTACATAACACTTCAATGGTTAAAGTGATGTACTTATGTTACACTTATAATATATTATTCACAAATCTTATATTAATTAGTTTGTTTTTTTGTTTGTTATAGTCAACAAATAAGAGCTTAGTTTTGGATAAACAAGGTAAAGAACATTAAGAATATCTTGGAACTAACATTGACTATTCAACTATGATTCAGCTCATACATCTTCTTTGGACAATCACAAGTTTTTATTTTCAGCCAATTAATTTTTATCCTTACTGTTAATTTTTGTATATTTAACTGTTATTGGAGTTTTATTTACTTATTTTTTAACAGAAACATATTATGGATAGAATTTATTGACAAAATGTTAACCATTGTAATACATTATACAGACATAAATTTTCTAAATTTTGGTGCTGGTCTAGTTGACCTCCGCCAGGAAGGCTGTTCGCGCCACGCGAAGTATTTTCTTTAATTATTCAATGTATTTTTTCTTAAATAAAATTAATTATTCTATAATATTTCTTAATGGTATATATTATGTAAAACTGACATCACACTGGGCAGTAGTCCAACTAGTTGTGTGCATAATATGATGAGATCCGGAATACAGTCGGTCGGCACTATCGTGAGTCGTTCGTCACGAATAAAATGTTGCACCAAGCACATTTGACGTCGGGAGACGTACGACTGTATCGGCCGGATCTATATATTATGTACGGCGCGGGTCAGATCGGTTCGGTCACAAGGGACACCGGTTGCAATAATGTACAGTTACATAATTGCTCAAACGAATCTTATTGATGACCCGCGTATTCGTCAATAAATTAATAAATAAGCGCACGACGACAGAACGCTGTGGGCGTGGCTTCGAGATCAGCAGCGGCCAACCAGCGTTATCGCCGCCATTTAACCACGCCCAATCACCAACCACAGACATTTCATGGGCGGTTCCTGAAACGACGCGGAGTGCGAGACCAGGGTATAAATGCCAGTGCGGAGCAAGAAACGGGCAGTCTGTTCAACGGAGCCTCTGAAGTAAGACCTACCCAGGCAGACCTACTCAGAGACTACAAGCAACATAAAATTAAATTATAACAATTTATTTAATTCGCAAATAAAACCAATTACACAAATTACAGTCCACTCTTATTTATTTCCTCGCCGGAACATTGGTCATCTTCGGGCCGGATTAAAAAATGGCTGCCGAACTTAAGGATCTCATCGGTCGTCGGGGAGTTATGAAAAGGCAAATCATTGCTTTTCAAAAATTCTTTGACAGCGGCAACTTCACAGATGCATCAACAAGAATGGAACTAAGTATGCGAACCACGAGACTTGAAGCTTCCTACGGGGACTTCCTCGCTGGTCAAACTCAGATAGAGTTATTGGATTGCCGTGAAGAGCAGCTGGCAGAACGCTCAGCTGTAGAAACAGCCTACTACGCAGCAATATCACCGGCTATGGTTCTTCTTGAGGCAGCTCAAACAAATCTAAGGAGAGCAAGCCAAACCTCGAGCATCCAAGGCGCAGCAGAGTACACAAGACTGCCCAACACTGAATCAGCCATCAGACTACCGCCAATCTCTTTGCCGGAATTTGACGGTGACTACAAAAAGTGGCTGAATTACCGGGACACATTTGATTCATTCGTCCATGGGCACAAGGACCTCTCGGACATTCAGAAATTGCACTATCTCAAATCCTCGTTGCGTAATGAAGCGGCACAAGTCATCGAATCGTTGGAGACAACAGCTGCGAACTATTTACCCGCCTGGGAGCAGCTGCGAGAGCGATATGACAACCATCGTAAAATGGTCGGAGGGCACATCCACGCACTATGCAGCATGCCATCAATAACGAAGGTTTCATCGGCCAGTTTGAGAAGTCACCAAAACGGCATAAATAGTCACCTGCGAGCGTTGACGGCCCTCAAACTTCCGGTAGAACATTGGGATGCCATAATCATCCACCTAATGGTAGAAAAATTAGACGTCGAATCCCACCGTTTATGGGAAAGTAGCCGTTCCAGCGCCTCCCTTCCTTCAATACAGGAATATCTGTCATTCCTGAATCAGCGGTGTCTAACCCTAGAGTCCATTGAGACAAGATCTAACTATGCCAAGGTTGCACTGCCAAGCCCATATGCCACCAACAACAAACAATTAGCACCGAAAAAGCGATCTTACACCACCGCCTTTGCAGCTACTGACAAATCAGTTTCATCATGCACGTTATGCAACGGCCAGCATGCGCTGTACGCTTGCCAAGGATTTTTGGGAATTCCCGCCAGCGAGCGAAGAGAACACGTGAGATCGAAACGGCTGTGTTACAACTGCCTCCGCCCGGACCATATGTCAAGAGTATGTTCGCGTGGATCTTGCAGGACATGCCGAGGCAAGCACCACACCTTGTTGCATATCATGGCCTCAACAGAGGTTCAAGTGGCAACAGCCTCAAATGCTATTGAATCACAACAATAGCAATTACAGCAGACCGCGGTGCTCCTATCAACCGCCGTCGTACTTGTCTCCAGCCCTTGGGGTACAACCCATTCAGCACGCTCATTACTCGATTCCGGCTCACAATGCCACTTTATAACGTCACTTTTGGTCAAACGCCTGGGTTTGCAAGGGAGAAATTCTTCAACGTCAATTATCGGAATAACGCAGTCAAATTATCAATCTACACGCAGTGTCCTATGCCAGATTAAATCCAGGGTCAGCACCTTTTGTACAACCCTAGAGTTCATCGTAATCCCAAAAATTATTGGAGAATTACCAGTTCGGTCTCCTACAAACTCAATACAAATACCCGGGGACATACAACTAGCTGATCCTGGTTTTTGGACACCCGGTAGTGTGGAAATGCTACTTGGAGCTGAAATCTTCTACCAATTAATTCGTCCTGGCCAGGTCAAACAAAGGTCAAATCCACCATTGTTATTTCAGAATACTTTGCTTGGCTGGATAGCATCAGGAAACATCAGCCAATCTAATGCCGAGGAATCAACGGCTACTGCGGCAATGGCCCTTGCCACCGATAATTTGGATCAAACCATTCAGAGTTTTTGGGAACGGGAAGAAGTAAATCCAGTGCATAAACTTACTGGAATCGAGTCACGATGCGAAGAAACGTATAAAACACATACAAGGCGCAACGCAGACTGGCGCTACACAGTGCCACTACTGGTTGACTACGAAAAATTGAACTGTATCGGTGACACGCGGGGTATGGCTAAAAAACGATTCTACATAATGGAAAGACGTATGCAGTGCAACCCTAAACTACACAAGGAATATGTCCACTTCATGCGGGAGTACATTAACCTTGGTCATATGAAGGAGGACCCTACATCAGGCCAGGCGCATCCACAGGAGGTATTCCTGCCGCACCATAGCGTCATCAAGGCTGACAGCAAAACAACGAAGCTCCGAGTGGTGTTCGATGGATCCGCAAGAGGTACCAAAGGTTCATCTCTAAACAACGCATTATTGGTGGGACCAAAGGTACAGGACGATCTCTTTGCAATCACTGCTCGGTTCAGGATTCACCGGTATGTCTTCACCGGGGACATGGAAAAAATGTATCGACAAATAAAAATAATGAAATCACAGACTCACCTTCAAAGGATATTTTGGAGGGAGAGTCCGGAACAACCTTTAAAGGTCTTTACATTGCAAACGGTTACTTACGGCACTTCCTCAGCCTCTTACTTGGCCACTCGAATCCTCGCTCAGCTTGCTCAGGATGATGGTTTCAAGTTCCCATTAGCAGCCACAGCCGTCAGCAAGGATTTTTATGTGGATGACGTGCTGACCGGCGCTGATACATTGGCAGAAGCTTTGGAACTACGAGATCAATTGATTCAATTATGTGATGGCGGCAAGTTTAAACTCCGCAAGTGGTGCGCAAACCATCCTTCCCTGCTGAAAAACCTCCCTCCGGAGGATCTCGGAGAAATTCATAAGTTCACTCACGAACGAAACAGCAGCTCGACAAAAACATTGGGCACGTATTGGCAACCCCGTGACGATGAAATACATTACACTATGAGACTGTTCAATGACACCAACACATGGACAAAGCATAGGATGGTGTCTGAAATGGCCAGATTATTCGACCCTCTAGGGCTCATAGGGCCAGTGGTGGTTCAAGCAAAAATTCTTGTGCGTGAACTGTGACGCGAAAAAATTGGTTGGGACACCAAACTACCAGATGATCACCATAAAAAATGGGAAGCGTATTACAACCATTTGATATACGTAAAGGAAATACGAATACCCCGTCGAATAATCCAAGTGAGTGAACCCACAGATCTTCAATTACACATATTCTGCGATGCATCTGAAGCCGCATATGGAGCCTGTGTCTACATTAGAAGCAAGGGCAGAGATAATGTCATCAGCTGTGAACTGTTATGCTCACGATCCCGTGTAGCACCACTTAAGGTCACCACCATACCACGCCACCCCATTATACTCAATGCCGATGATCCACTCACAAGGCTGCTAGTCGATTACGAGCATCGACGATTGATGCACGCTGGACCCCAACACCTATTGGCTTCACTCCAGCGGCGATATTGGATATTCGGTGGACGAAATGCAGTGCGTCTTCACACGCACAAGTGTATGAAATGCTACAGATGGAAAATCAAGGCAGCGACTCAGTTGATGGGATCTTTGCCAGCCGCCAGGGTGAACCCATCTCCAGCATTTCATGTCACAGGCTTAGATTACGCTGGTCCAATATCCATAAGGCATGGAGGAACAAGGAGCAGGGTCCTCACCAAGGCGTACGTGGCACTTTTCGTTTGCTTCAGCACTCGTGCTATTCACCTAGAACTGGTATCAGACCTCACTAGCTTGACATTCCTTGCGGCACTGCGCAGATTCATATCTCGCAGAGGAAGGCCTATTCAAATCCATTCCGACAATGGGACAAATTTTATCGGAGCCAACAGATTATTGGGTGAGTTCCTAAACAATAATTCTATTAGGAAGGGGATATTAGAATACTCACACCAAGAAGGGATAGACTGGCGATTTATTCCCCCTCATGCCCCCCATTTTGGAGGCCTGTGGGAAGCCGGAGTTAAATCAACAAAATATCATCTACGAAGATGCATCGGAGACAGTATACTTAATTTCGAGGAGCTACACACAGTGCTAGTGCAAATTGAAGCGGTGCTAAATTCAAGGCCCGTGATGGCAGTTTCCGATGATCCTGACTGCCTGGAGGCATTAACCCCGGGGCACTTTCTAATTGGACGTCCGTTAACGACTTTCCCAGAGCCAACCCTGCTCGATGAACCGACAATAAGTTGTCCAAGACGAAGATGGGATCTGGTTCAAAGAATGTTTCAGCAATTTTGGCTGCGCTGGCGCCGTGACTATGTTAACTCTCTTCAGCAACGACCCAAATGGTCAAGGCCCATGGCTAATTTCAAAATAGGAGATTTGGTTATACTAAAGGAGGACAACCAATCACCCCTGGACTGGCACTTAGGTAGGATCATTCAGCTACATCAGGGAGCTGATGGACTAGTCCGAGTGGCTACTGTCAAAACAAGGGGCAGCACTATGAAGCAGCCAATTACGAAACTGGCAATGCTACCTATCCAACATGAACCTTAGTTCGCCGGGGGGAAATATGTTCGCGCCACGCGAAGTATTTTCTTTAATTATTCAATGTATTTTTTCTTAAATAAAATTAATTATTCTATAATATTTCTTAATGGTATATATTATGTAAAACTGACATCACACTGGGCAGTAGTCCAACTAGTTGTGTGCATAATATGATGAGATCCGGAATACAGTCGGTCGGCACTATCGTGAGTCGTTCGTCACGAATAAAATGTTGCACCAAGCACATTTGACGTCGGGAGACGTACGACTGTATCGGCCGGATCTATATATTATGTACGGCGCGGGTCAGATCGGTTCGGTCACAAGGGACACCGGTTGCAATAATGTACAGTTACATAATTGCTCAAACGAATCTTATTGATGACCCGCGTATTCGTCAATAAATTAATAAATAAGCGCACGACGACAGAACGCTGTGGGCGTGGCTTCGAGATCAGCAGCGGCCAACCAGCGTTATCGCCGCCATTTAACCACGCCCAATCACCAACCACAGACATTTCATGGGCGGTTCCTGAAACGACGCGGAGTGCGAGACCAGGGTATAAATGCCAGTGCGGAGCAAGAAACGGGCAGTCTGTTCAACGGAGCCTCTGAAGTAAGACCTACCCAGGCAGACCTACTCAGAGACTACAAGCAACATAAAATTAAATTATAACAATTTATTTAATTCGCAAATGAAACCAATTACACAAATTACAGTCCACTCTTATTTATTTCCTCGCCGGAACAAAGGCAATTCCCCAGCCACTCAAGTTTAGTTGACGCCCGCCACTTACATTTTGTATTTTCGATAACCAATAATTCATAATTTATTCAATATTAAACATTTATTAAAAATTATACAATTATGAACAATTCCAGCGATCAAAATAAAAATATATAAAAAATATGGTAATACTTCATAATATTGTTTCGGCACCCGGTGTTATACCTATCTTATATAATTCATTTTACTACACGGATTTTACCAAACATAATTCTTAAAATATCTAATTAGAGAATTTCACACAAATACCTAACGTATATGATTTCGTACCTTTTTTATCTGCACTCTGCAGTATATCAGTATATTATACATTTTATAACATCAAAAATATGAGAGATGTAGGTAAGTGGCGAGCGTCAACTAAACTTGAGTGGCAGGGGAATTGCCTTCCTGGCGGGTCAACTAGACCAGTACCTAAACTTCAAACACAATTTATTTAAAAGATATAATTTAAAATAATAGTTTTATTAATATAGTTGGAAGTAATACTTCTAGTTTTAATAATATTTTGAATAATTTGTTTTTCTAATAATATTGAAGGTGTCTATTCTATCAAATATCTAGGAATATATATTAAGTTCCAATTAAAATATAGTATACATATAAACTATATCATAAATTTAGGTCGTAAATTCTTTTATGTTTTTAAAGGCCTAAGGTTTATTCTTGATAAACAACAACTTAGAATTGTTTATGTTTTCTTCATTCAATCAATAATTGTATTTGGTATTGATATACCTATGAGGTGGTGCTTATGAAATCCACTTGAACAAATTAAAATCGACTATAAATAAATGTATTAAATTTATTTTAAAAGTTCCTATTCTTACTTGTACTAAATTTATTATTAAAGAATTAAATATCTTAGATTTTTATAAGATTCTCACTAAATGTATTTTACTATTAAGTTTTAAGCATCAAATGTATTTACCAACTCATTAATAATAATATTTATTGGCCAAAAATTGAATATTAATTACATAGTTAAATGGCCCATCTCACCACTGAGGATAACCTCTTATCGGTGATGATGGAGTACTATTTAAAGATGAGTTTGAATTTATAAATTTTATAATATTTTCAAAATGTTTTGTATAAACTGCATCATATTTGACTTTAATTCAAAACCATAAACTTGTAAGCATAACTATAATACCAAATTTAAAAAAATATATAAATACAATTGTAATTAAAGTTGCCTAAATCATAAAATTTCACTTAGTAGAAAAATGGTAATAAATATTAATCAATTCACTTATTTATTATAAACATATTTTACAATTTTCTATAATGAAGAAGATTAATTTAGTATGAATTTTTACAAAATACAATGTATATATAATTAAAATTATTTAAGTATTAATCAAGTATTTATAGACATTTTTTATTACTTTGTAACTATATTATGAACTCAAGCATTAGCTTAAAGCAGAGGTCGGCCACTGGCGGACTGCGTAAACCAAAACACTGGACCCCGTCAACATAATATTGTACTTGATTATGTTATTTACTGTAAAAGTATATGCTATGTATTATTATTATTATATTATTTTACTATAAATATTAATAGAAAATATATATTTCATTTTGTTTATCAAACTCAGATTATAGTTGTATCATAATTCATTGCAAATATTTTTTCAGGTAGGTAATAATCTGTTCTGTTTTATTACAATAACCGAATCGCAAAAATACCAAATATACAGACAGCGTTAAATTATTATTATTATTATTATTTACCCTAACCTAATAGGTATTGTAATTTTTTAATATAAATTAATTGGAATACCAACTGGATAATTATTTTTAATTTAATACTGCTATTTTTTAAATATAAAGATTTGACAAAGATTAACACTGGACCTCATTGATTTATTATTTTAATCTTTAGGACTCCAATAGAAATTACTTGCCGACCTCTGGCTTAAAGAATGTGTGCAAACAATTATAATTATAATAACTGTTTGCTTGTAAATATATAATATTCAACTATTAAACCATGTTTGTAAAATTAATTTACATGTTAAAATATATTATTCTACATAATTATATCTAATAAACATATATATATATATATATATATATCTAAATCTCTAAATGTATTGCTGTGTTTGGATAACAAACCTGTACCGAACTTGTTTTTAATTGAGTTAACTCTTTGAGGGGCCGTGGTTAGTATGCTAACCACTTTTTTTTTTACCGTTCAGGTGCGGTGGTTACTATTTTAACCACTTTTAAAATTATTTTTAATATTTTTTTGATGATGGTCAGCATACAAATCACCTTATTATCATCTTATACATGCATCAAACAATATCACTGCCGCTGGTCTGATATCATTTCTCGCGTTTTTCATCATTTATTATCATTATCAATATTTTGATATACGTACTAAATGTTATGGTAAAGAGACATATTGCCCACATGGGTCTTTTTTCTAAAGGAAATTTTCGCCCCTCAAAGAGTTAAGTTTGTAATTTTTTTTATATTAACTTTAAATTGATAATTTGCTCAAACAAAACAACAAAAACCGTTCATAAATATCAGTATTGAATCCAAGTTGTGCA